ATTAGTTATGTTTATCCTACTCAATCTTTAACATTGTTCACCTCCAAATTTTGTCATCATCCTTGGCTTGCCTAACCATTTGTAAATTTTTCCATTTTAAAGTTCTTCTGGTTGTCAGTATCTGGGGGTCTCTATGAGACGGCCCTCTAATCTGGGATAAAGAGGATACTCTGGATATTGGACTAAAATTGAAATCTAACAGGTCTGAGCAGATGTGTGCAACATCACCTGATAGACACAAGGTGACCCCTGACTTGACAAGGCCCAGACTGAATGAAATCATTGCAATGTTTTCAGGGGGAAAGAATAAATTTTAAAAATTATATTTACATATATAAATATATTTTTATTTATTCATATATATGTATGTGTGTATGTATGCATGTATGTATGTATATATATATTAGGAGAGAGCAAATCAAAGAGGAAGCAAAGCTGACAGCCAAGCTTTAGAGTTTCTATGGCATCAATCCCTGTTTCAGTACAAATACCTGGGGAAAAACCTAATTTTTTTCACTTCTAAAGTATCCATCTGGAAATCCGGCCATGACGGTGAGAGGGGGTAATGTGAATGAAGGAGCGCGAAAGCTGTAAAGTTAAACCTGTCTAGAGAGAGAGTTCCCCACCAGGTGCCTGTGCTTGGGACCCAAAGCCTCCAGGGGCTGCCGCGCTGGAAGTGGCCACATGGCCTCCCTTGGTCACCCCCTGTGACCCTGCCCTCCTCCTAGTCCTCCTAACATAGTATTCTGGTCTGAATGCTAGAACAAATGATGCAAAGTCAATAGCCAAAATTGAAATCATATGAGTGCAGTGGTTACCCAGGAATGGAATGGGCACCTTTGGGGCAGCAAGGCTGCTGCTGCTGAGAATACACCCAGCAGAAAAGCTCCCAGTTCAACAGTTTGTCCTCGTGAGAGTCAGCAGACTGGCTGCTTCCGCTGAGCTGTGCATTCGCAGATGAGCAGCGTTTGAAGGTCCCCGTCGTTCACAGCCCTGAGCGAACTGGCTGTGGGTCCAGGGCAAGGAGGGCCGGTGTTGTATCGAGGAGCAGCACAGGGTTTAGTTGCTCACGTCCATCTCAGTTCTCTGTCTGAGTGTGAAAGTTTGAAGGAGCCTGTAAATGACAAAATGCAGTAGTGTTCTGTGGATGTGAACAATAAACCGACACATAAAAAGAAAGAAATCTGAAGAGGATATCTTTGCAGATAGCAGCCATAAGCCCAGCTGACATCTGCTACGAGGAGACTTTATCCACGCTGAGATATGCTGAAAGGTAGGTTTGTTAACACTGATTTTCCACAGTGGGTCTCGGTGTGGGTTGGCATTCGGGCCCAAGGGAAAGGAGAGCCATACGATTGGTGACACAGGAATGAGAGGAAGGAAAACAATTTCAGAGGAAAGCATCTGGAAGAAGCAGGACCGT